TGAATAATTTAAATGCAGAATGGAAAGACCTTATAATGATAACCTTTTTGATACTTTTATCCCCTACTAGCATTTTTTTTTCTGGATCCTCTCCTGCTGATAATGTTAACAAAGGTGACGAATGATCTTGACGATTATAATGATGATGAGGATGTTGGGGACGATGACAAAGATTATTTGGGTATTAAAACGCCAACCAAATATATAAATATATAAATAACAATATTTATAATCAGTCACCAAAAAAGTTGCAATGAAAAATGTAGCATTGTTTAAGTCAATTAACTCTGTACAAAATACTATGAATTTAAGTGAGAGGCGTTTAACAAATATAGCGCCTACAGGGGTGTATCCAGGATTTTGTTTGTGGGGGAGGAGGGGTCGTGATCATAAAATTTTAGACCTTATCACAATGAAAACAAGAGCGTCGACATTTTTTTCCCTAAAATTTGGAGGAGGAGGAGGGCTTAACCATTCCAATTTTACCTCAGCCCTACCACGGTTGGGGTAGGAAATTTTAAAATATAGAACTTCTAGATGACCGGAAAAGACACTCTCATTCGGACCTTCGGACCAATGGACCTTCGGACCAATGGATCTTCGGACTAATGGACCTTCGGACCAATGGACCTTCGGAATAATGGACCTTCGGACCAATGGACCTTCGGACCAATGGACCGTCGGACCAATGGACCTTCGGACCAATGACTAGTCACCGTTGATTTCAGCTGTTTTTCCTACATCTTGAATCCCATTCATGTTACCCGAGAGACCTGGTGTGAGAGTACGTAGGCCTACATTCCAAAGCCCTAATGTAAATTCAGTAAAATTCCGTAAACTACATTTCTTTTAAATTTCTTATTTCTGCCTGATGTCAATGTTACCAACCGATTGTCTGATTTCCGCATGAAGTTCCGCACACTCAGTAGAACAGAAAGTTGGTGGGGGGGGGGGGACAACACCTTATTGATTGGGGCTGCACAGTTTGAGGCGGGCGGTAGCTGTACAGTGAAATTTAAAACTTTGTCCCACCGTCAGAATTGACCCCTAGCACCTAGACTTACCCCAATAAGACTTTGACTTAAAACTAACAGCCTAAACTAACGAACAATCCTTTCCACCTTCCAAGTTTTAACGAGAGGAATAGGATGGCACTACGTCTGGAGCTCAGTTGGTCGCAGTGAGTAGTCAGATATCTGATGCGCCCAGATACCTGCCTTTAATGCTTCTCACATAAGCATTTGTGTTGATAAAGACTTCCTTAACAATGGTTCAGACAAACGTATCTTCAGTCGTCGTCGTCGTGGTTGGTTTATATTAGGTTTGAAATCAGAGTTTTTCTTCTCTTAGGGATAGTCGACCATGGCCTTCGAGAGTCCCCTGCCCGGAGCACCTGATTTTAAGGCGCCAGGAAGCTCGCCTACACCCTCTGCCATTCTGTGGGAACAGGGTTAGCGCGAGAAGCCAGGCAATAGGATTTGATTACGAAAGGCTTTGTGAGACGCTGTGCTATTCCTGAGACACTTCGAAGGAGATAGAGGTGCTCATGTCATTATCCCCAATCCCAGCACACCCTAAACCTGTTAACCCCAAGGCCAATATGTATGTTGGGCCTACATAGAAAAAGATATTTGACAGGCTTAGTTATATATGTACAAAATACATTTAAGGCACTGTGTGTACATCAAGGAAAAATAGGAGATAAAATACATGAAAGAATACATACTTCTGCCTTAGTAACTTTCATCAATACGCTGAAACTGGTAATATGGTCAGAAAAGCAAGATACTTTGTCTTGAGAATGGTCAGTGGTTATCACACCTTCATCACTCCAAGTCCTTCATTGAATCAAAATCGTATGGCAATCAATATATTAATATACTTATTGTTCACATCATTTACAACATATCCGATTAGTGTTCAAAGTTTTATTTTATTACAACAAACAATATAAATCTTACTTTTGTGTTTCGTTGAAAAATAGACAAGTTGGTTCTTTGTCAACAGCTTCATTTTCAGTGTATGTTTCCTATAAAAAAAAATATACCAATTATGGTAAAATTCTACTACAAATTACCACAAATAGTCAAATATACTTCACATATTTTGTAAGCATTCACATTTTCTTGAAATTATTTCTAAAACATATTTCTGGTCAATGAAAAAAAATGTAGGAATGGTAATATGTTGCCGTTTGTTAATTAGTGGGAAATGATTATTATTCTGTTCTAATTTTTATTGGAGGCGTAATTGAAAGAAAAACATGATTAAATATTTAGTTATCTTCCATATAATTTTAAATTATAACACATAAATATTAAATGAATTGAATTATGATAATCCACTGTCTAACATTTCTGGCTACTAAATCTCACTATTTTTCATTTACTTACCATTTTCTGAAATATGCTAAAATTCAATTTTGCTTCGAGGCGGGAAATGTTTACGATATCATAAACATTGCACATAAATAGTTCCGTCAAATATCGATATTCATCCGTACTATCTCTGAAAGTAACAGTCGAATGATAAATAATAGTGATATATGTATAGGCCTATATACATTTATAATGCTGAAATTATCAGTAAAACAAATCACTATCTTCAGCAGTAGTACTAATCTGCAGAGTGCTTAATAGTACGAGAGCAAAATAGGTAAATAGTAACACTATGAAACAAGATTCAACCATAGACATTTCATAATGTGAAAATCCGATAAATTTGCTGTACTATACGTTGCTATGCTTGTATTGGAAACAATATCAATTCATTTATAAATATACTTATACTT